GACAAACACTACTCATCCTCTAATCACTAGAATGAGCAAGAATCAAAGTTGCGATTTGCATCCAAGTAGAGAAATGGAGAGAAAGTGAGAGTAGAATGAGTAGAACTCACCCAAATGCATGAAATCACAAGGGGGAAATGGCGATTCACATGGGAGTGAAGAATAGGACAAAACAAACACTAATCATCCTCTAATCACTAGAATGAGCAAAAATTAAAGTTGCGATTTGCATCCAAGTAGAGAAATGGAGAGAAAGTGAGAGTAAAGTGAGTAGAACTCACCCAAATGCATGAAATCACAAGGGGGAAAGTGGCGATTCATATGGGAGTGAAGAATAGGACAAAACAAGCACTAATCATCCTCTAATCACTAAAATGAGCAAGAATCAAAGTTGCGATTTGCATCCAAGTAGAGAAATGGAGAGGAATTGAGAGTAGAGTGAGTCGAACTCACACAAATGCATGAAATCACAAGGGGGAAAGTGGCGATTTACATGGGAGTGAAGAATAGGACAAAACAAGCACTAATCATCATCTAATCACTAGAATGAGCAAGAATCAAAGTTGCGATTTGCATCCGAGTAGAGAAATGGAGAAAGAGTGCGAGTAGAGTGAGTAGAACTCACCCAAATGCGTGAAATCGCAAGGGGGAAAGTGGCGATTTACATAGGAGTGGAGAAAGAGCCTATTTCCTACCACCTATCCTTAAGCTTAGGAGAGTTTCTTATGGAGAGAGGAAGGGAAGATGAGAGTGGAGCAGGAGGGGGAGAGAGATGAGGGAGTAGATGGGGGGGGGAAGAAGAAGAGAAAACAAGAGGGGGAGAAGAAAAAAAAAAAAAAGAAGAAGAGGAAGGGGAAGTAAAGGAAGAAGAAGAAGAAGAAGAAGGAGAAGGAGAGGAAGAAGAAGAAGAAGAAGAAGAAGAAGAAGAAAAAGGAGGAGGAGGAGGACCACCTCCACTCCACTCACCTCACCGGTGTCTTGGGATGAAGTATCAATCTTGATGAAGTCTCCTCCTTCCTTGTTCAAGCACCCCCTTGGCCATGGCTTCCTTCTTCTTCAAGCCCTTCTCTCCCTCCTTCTCTCACCTTCTCCCACGCCACAACAGGCTCCTACCTCTATGGCTATGGAGTCCTTCCCTCTAGGAGGGCTAATGGGACCCCTTTTAGCCTTGCCTTCTTCCCCACAACCTGGGGGCTATGGCGGACCACCTTCCCCACTACCACTAGCCTCTAGAGCTCTACACACTAGCTTACGGTCCCTTCTAGACCTCCCAAACTGGCAGAGTTTCCCCTCTCTTCACTCCATGTGAATGTAGTGCTCTCATGGGCTCATCTCGGCAGCATGGGCATTCCTCATGCAAATGGGAGTGTGGTGGACTGATTCCTCAACTTATATAGGTTGGGGACAATGCTTTGGCCAGCCCATGGGCCTCCCCATGTGCCCCATGGTGAACCGAGGTACCCCCTATGGCCAATTTTCACTACTAGGCCTCTCCGGGGGCACCTGAGCCTTATTTTGACCAGATACATACAGCCCGAGTGGTTGGTACCAACTCGGACTGCCCTTTGGGCCTCTTTCAAGCCTCATGCCCCTTGAAAAATGCTGCCCCCTTGAGTCTAAAGGCCCAAGGGACAGCCTACTTGAAAGAAAAGGCCTTGTAGGCCTTTTTCTCGACTTTTTCTGATTTTGGTCTCCCTTGGCTAGGCCGAGACATTTCTCCATGTGGCGGTACATTTTCAGCCTTGGATCAGGCTGAGATCCAAGGCCAGCAATATTCCGAGCTTACCCCACGGTGGTCCTTGCGTCAGTTTTGGACCCCAAAGCCCTCTTTTTCAATTTTTGGTGCATCTGGCCCTCTGTTTGGGGCAAATGCACAGTTTTATTTTTTTCTGTCTTTTGTTTCTTTTCATTTTGGGCTGCCAACTCATTCCGGAGTTGGCCGCTTGTGGTGACCTCATAAAAAATGGCCATATTATCTATTCCATGGATCTAAATCTCAGATCCATGGTCCAAAAGAAAACCGACCGTTTTTCTTTTGCCTTTTCTTTAATTTTTATCTTTTTAATTTAGATATTTCAGAGATAATGCCCCAAGGGTCATATCTTTGCAATCCGGATTGCCCTCCTTGATTCTTGGAGGGATGAGGTCATCATAGGGACCTGTCAATCACTACTGCAGCAGTCCCAACAGGCCGGCACATTCTCCTCCATCCTTTTCTCCCTTTTTGTCTCATTCTCCCTCCATTTTCTCCATTTTTTTTTTTTCCTTTTATTTTTGTTGCGACAAGTGTCAAACAGCTGTGCATCTTCTTCCTAGGCCTTGGAACCTCATTCATGGCCAGGTTCATGGCCGGCTGTTGGCCGTTACATCTTGGACTTCAATAATGGCACCCCCATGCTCCTAGGGGGCTCATTTTGCTTCCGTTAGTCTCAATCTTGAGCCCCCTTGGCTCCGATTTTCTTTTGACAACCTTTTTTTGCGTGGGGCCCCCTTGGAGCTTTATTTTCTCATGCCTAGCTAGTCCGAGATATCTCGGATTGCTGGGCAGTCCACCCCTCACCCATTTTTCTTTCTTTTTATCTCTAGTTCTCTCATTTGGGCTCCACTAGTGCTTGCACTAGTGGTGCTAATATTTTCCACCGTCAAGATCTTCAGTGCCGTTGGCCTTGCGCATCCACTCCCCACATTGGCTTGTGTTTTTTTCCTTGGGACACCTCAAGTCCCCGCCACTTTCCCACACTAGTCTCATTTTTCTGTCCCGCCGACGTTGCCGTCGACAAAATCCCAATTTTCGACAATCTTTTCTAGGGCTCATTTAATTCCCGGCGTTGCTCCGGTCAACGTCCCATTTTTATTTGGGGCTCCCCTTGTCCCGACAGTCCCAACGGTCAAGTGCGCCGATTATTCCCGATCGCGAGACCCCCTTCTTGCCGTCACCATTTATCGTCACTTCCCTTAGGCTTACGGTACTGTTTTTTAGCCTCTTGGGCATGCGGCGGCCCATTTTCCCTTGGGCTAGGCATCCCCATGCAGTCCGTTATTTCTCAGACTGCAATGATGTTCATTTCCTTGGTCCCAGAGCCCCACAACTTGCCTTCAACTGAAAGAAAATGAAGTGCTCAATTTTTGGGTGCATCCGGGCTCAATATTGGCCCCGGATGCACCTAAAACATGTATTTTCCCTTCCCCATGCAGTCCGTTGCAACTCGGACTACAGTAGGGGCCATTTTCCTAGTCTCAATACCCCACAACTAGCCTCAAAATGAAAGGAAAAAAAACGGCCAACTCCCAAGTCCATCTGGTCTCCATTTTGGCTCTCGGTGCACCTAAAACATGTGTTTGGCCTACCTTATGCAATCTGTTGTATCTCGGTTGCATGAGGTCTTGATTTTTCTTGATTCTCTCTTCAAAATCAAAAGAAAATCAAGATACTTTGTAACCGACATATGCCAGAATGAATCTGGTCACAAATGCATCCCCTAGGTGATCGTTTTGGTTGTTAGTGCCCTTTTGACTTTTCTTTTTTTTTCTCTTTTCTTTTTGTTTTCTTTTTCCCTCCACTTGTGGACAGTAGGGACTTGCAAGTCCCTACTTTATGCAGTCCCTACTGACAACCAACTCAGCCGCGGTCAATTCAACGATAGCGAAGATGAGGCAATAACGCTACCGACGTCTTCGCTGTTGAGTCGAAGAGACCGGTCCGTGTTGTCTATACCTGAGTTCCGACAAGCAGATCTAGTTCGAGAGGAGGTCGCCGCGGCTCCCGGAAAGGCGGCAGTCCACTATGAGGTCGACTTGGAGACTGCCGAGGGCTATGGCACGGAGGACGAGACCGTGGGCGGAGAGGGAACGCAGGGCACTCCACAAAAAAGGAGGGGAGATCGTCAACACGACGTTGTCGGCTCTTCGAAGAAATAGAAGACCAAGGGTCCGAAGAGTGGGGGGGAGAAACGGAATGGAACGGGGGGGGAACAGGACCGCCCGAGTAGCAAACGTCCTGCTTCGAAATAGAAGTAACCTGCGTCGGGACCTTCCTCGCCACGGCCTGCCATCGATGTCGACGCAGGGTACTTCCTGGAGTACAAAGACGGTGTCAGGACGAAGTGGGAGTGGGAGGATTTGTACAACAAGCGGTCATTGGATCCCGTCCTCGTTGAAGGGATCAAAGAAGCGATGCGATTGGCGTTCGAAAACAAAAAACAGTCGTACGAGTTGCCAACCCTGAAGCTGGCACCGCTAGCGCTGCAAAAACCAACTCCCGGGAACAAGGCACAACGTCTGAAGTCGGAGGAATGAGGGACGAGCTGGCGGGACAATACTACTACTACACAGTGTGTGGGCAACACAACACGGCTGCAGCCCGATCGCTGCTCGGCAGCGAGGTGGTCAAGAAGTACAATTTTCAGCGGTGGCCGGCACGAATGGTGTACTTTTCGGACAACGACTTCGAAGGGTATTTTCTTGTTAGTTCCCAGGACAACAAGAAAAACCTCAAGGCACCTCCTAGACAGATGAAACTGTTCATGAAAGACATTCGGTGGCAGTGGAAGCATAACGGTTTCCCCAGAGTTGTCATTGGGAACCCTATCGGGAAACAAAAACAGGTCCAGAAATGGCGTGAGTTTTGTACGATGGCGCTCCATAAGATGCCGTAGAACAACTTGTGGATTCTCGCGGATCAAAAGGAGGAGGTCGCCATTAAGAAACAAAATGTTGCCCTGCGTTCTTATTTCCCATTGGCGATAGCCGACGAGGGTGTCTGGAAACTGACCGTGAAATTTTTTGAAAAATGGGAGACAGGTAGGTTGCTGGGCCACGACGGAGCAAAGTGGATCGTCAAGAAGAAAAAGGTCAAAAACGTCAAGTCGGGGTTCGCCTACATCGACAACGACAAGTTGGGCAGAAAGGAGGTCGTTTACAATGTCCCCGTAGAGCCGCCAACTAAGAAAGGCAGAAAGGAAAAAGAGGATGGCGATTGGTTTGTGCAGGTGCCTGAGCCGGACACGCATTGTTGGAAAGCGATGGAAGCACTCACCGACAATGAGCAGTGTCGCGTTCCGAAGAAGGTGCTTGCTTGTGAGGTCGTTTGGGTCCAGGTCGGCTCCCCGTCGTTGGCGAAGCTGGGGAAGCTGAGCATGCAGGAAATGGTGCAGTTGGTGAAGTGCGACCACGTGCTGGTCCGGTTGTGGAACTACTACCAATTCAAGCACGAGAAGAGGCCGGACGCGGATTGGATCCAAAAGTACCCTTTCCTGAAATCGAGGTCTGTCGTCTTCAAAAAGTTCGAAAGTCGAGGATTGGATGGCAATTTGTGGGATGGTAGCAGGAAATACATTTATGACGCGGTGCTGTTCAAGGACTGCCCGCCGTACATCGGTTGCGACGACGACCACTCGATCAAGGCGACGAAAAAGTTGGCCGGCCACAGGGAGTTGGCCGTCGACTGGAGAAACAAGGTTCTCTCCGTGTTGACTGGGAGCAGACTGAAGAGTCGGGAGATCGCATTTGCCAAAGGCATTGTGCACATAAAATGGAAAGACACGGGGGATCCATCGCACCGTTCAACAACGACCCTCTGGAGGCGGACATTAGGAGTGCAGAGCTGAAGGAAGCGGTGGCCGTCACAAAGAGCCACACTTTCGTCCTTGATCTGTGTGAACCGGTTGACTTGAAGCTATGGAAACCGCAAGCGTTCGAGACTTTGAATTCCTATCTTCCGACGTGGTGTCCGTCGAATTGGACTCTCGTTGTTTCTGTGCTGCGGCAGCACCTCTCATTCCTGGCCAGCATGCACCATCTTTCTTTCATAAAGCTGCTGGAAGGGAAGTGGGTGAGGAGGAGCCAACAAAAGAAAAGCTTCCTTGTGGGAAACAATCTATACACGGAAGACGACCGCATGTACATCCTCTTCAAGGATGACAATCTGCACGTCAACACGTTCCCTCGTCTACGAGGGAAGGCTGCCAAAGGGTGCTGCTGCTTGTCGCGATGGAAGGGAATTCCGACCTCTTGCAAATTGCAATTCACGATGCAACTCGTCAAAAGCGAGGTAAATTCGGGGGCCCACAATTGCGAGTTCATGGTCGTGAAGGCAACACGGGATCGGGTGTCGAGCAACAAGATGGACATGTGGTTCAAGTTGAGTGAGAGGAAGAGGAAGAAGATATATGACTTCTTGTTCCTTCAAATGCGGCCGAGGAAGAACACTGAGGCCGAGTACGTTCGCCACAGGGACCACATGTTGGCGTTGCTCGACAACCACCACTTTGCCTCCCGCATGAACGCGAAGACCTTTCTCGAAAGGTTGCAGTCCCTTTAGTTCATTGAGTCCGAGGAGGAGTTGAAGTTCGGCGTTTACACATACTTGATCTCCACTGACGACGAGGCAGCCACCGTTGTGGAGTTCGACGCCAACGCGAAGGAGGAGGAAGCAACACCGAGAGCCTCAACCTGCAATATGACCCTGCTCCGGTGGAGCACGCCCGAGGGTCTTCCTCGGTCGGTCCGTTGACAAGCCCGACACCCCTCGTGTCGCCGATGGCCAGACCGGCGCCGGACACCACTCCGATGAAGTTGGAGAGACTGAGAGCTCTTGCCGTCCCCCCGCGCACATTGCGTCCCGGGTCCGACGTCCCGCCCGATCATCCGTCTTGGAAGGATGACAACATCCACTTCCTTCTTGAGCCACGAAGTCATTCGCCTGAGGTGGACTGGGGCCATGACATGATTTGGCATCCAAGAGTCATCCAGCCCGCGATACAAAAGGGCGAGTGGGTCATGGCCGTTGCAGTCCCGGGCGCGGGATGGGTGTCCATCCCTCGCGAGTCGAAGTCCAATTTCCTGCACCTCGTGAGGATTTCGGTCCTTCAAAAAGTGAGGGTCGAAAATGACACGTTTGCACCCGACAACTTGTCCGTCGTTTCCACAGTTGGGCGACTGTTCGACGAGCTTCAGGATAAGTGCTGGTTGGAATTGACGGAGAACTACTACGAGCTCGACACGAGCCCGTCGAAGGGCATGGTGGACTGGAAAGTGCCCCCTCCCAGCGGGGCGCACGGGAGTTCCGAGGGGGGGGCACCAGGCGGTGGAGGGGACGGGGGTGGCAGTGCGGGGGGTGGAAAAGGAGTCCCGCGTAGTGGGGAGGGACGGTCTCACGGCGGCACCACGACATCGGGAGGCAGCGGTGGGGTGGCGGGTTTTGCCATTGATTGGAATCCGTTTACTGACCCCAGGCCGGAGCCTACGACGCAGTCGCCCAACCTCCAGAGTTCGTCTGTGGGCTCAGCGAGGGAGACATTGGCAGCCTTGGTTGATCTCGGCAGCCGCTCGGGCGGAACGTTAAAGTCCGTCAGGATCCGAACGTACGTTGAGGTGCCGCAAGAGCGGTCCACCGTGCAGAGTCGCTCGGGGTTGGGGGAGCCGAGCCAGGGTCCCGCGATTGGCAGCGGTGCGGTGAGGGACGGAAATGCGCCGCCTAAGCGGGAGCGACGACCGCTAGGATTGCAGCGAGAGCCTACAAGTGCAGGGTCCGGCGACACAGAGACGACGAAGTCCGCCGAGATCTGAACTTCTTCAGGCGGGCGGGGTTGGCCAGGGATTGTCGTGCCGCCGGAAGGGGCAGCATGCACGAAGACAGAAGGGCGGTCGTCAGGATTCAACACGGGTACCGGAGAAGGGCCTAAATTGCATGGAAGGGAAGGAGAGGAGGAAATGGAGGAACGAAAGGAAGGGGAAGAAGGGGAGGAAGAAGGGGAAGAAGGGGAGGAAGGGGAGGAAGGAGGAGAAACGGAGCTGATTGAATTGCTTGAAGGCAGAGAGGGTGCCAAAGGGGACGTGGGTATTGGAGACGACGAGGGGGAGGACAGTGAGGACGATGCAGGATCTGGAGATTCGTCTGACGAGTTCGGACAACTGTACGGAGAGCATCACGAGGATGATGTCGACGACGATGCCACGACAATGGAGATGGAGACACAGGTGGTTAGCAGCCTTTCTGCAGAGCCTGAAGACTATTAGGTCCAACCACTGACGTTTGTCGTCGATCTGCAACACTGGTTCGGCGAGGCTTCCGCTGCTATGAACCCATTTAAACCAAGTCGTCGTATAAGCATCGAAGAAGTTATCGACGGTATCTTCGACGACCAGCACGTGTCTGCGCATCCGTCCACAACGTCTGACGTTGACGACGCTCGCAACGTCAAATCTTTCGTGGCAGCTGCCCTTGCTTTCTCGCCGCCGAACTCACCGGTACTGTCGGCCACCCTCGCCGGCGGAGGGGAAGGCGAGGTCAGGGGACGACAACATGTCACGTCCCCTAAAAAATCTAGGGTCGGCACTCAAGCTCTCGACGTGCTATCTTTGCCCGCGCCAACTTCACCGACGAAGGAGCGGAGAGACAAACCAACTGGTAAGATGTGAAGAACGCCACATTGTCTGCGCGCCCAGGCTTACGAAAATGAGAGCGGGGCTTCCTTCGTAGTCCGGATGTCGGTGGACTATAGTCTGCGCCATACACACGACGACTGTCCACACTGTCTGTCGATACGGGAAGTTCCAGATGTCCACATACTACAGCCACCAGTCCTTCCTACTACATGTCATCGGCTTTTCTGTTAGTCAGCCAGGTTGCTAGTCGCGGGCAGGGAAGACTTCATCGAAAACATAACACTCCATCGAAGGAAGGATCTATCCTTCTACGAAGTGTTTTTTTGTTGAAGCATTCCCTCGCAAAAGTCTCCCTGGCTAAGAAAATGGCCAACTAAATGGAATGACGTTTTTTTCTTCTCGGAAAGAGTGGTGGTTTAAGTCCACCGGGATCCGAACTTACTATGTCGATGCGTAATGTGGTTAGTCTCTGTGGGCCCGCTGTGGGAAAAAGTCCGCCGCAATCCGAACTTTGGGGAATGTTGGCCTTCCGCTTCTGTGACTTGTGGTGGTGTTCCTTTGTGAAGAGCGGGGGTGTTAAGCTCGAATGCGCTAGTCATTTTGTTTTCCAGCCGCACACACGCACCTCGGCTATGAATCCCCCGCGGTCATGACTGCGGGGTCAATCTCGGCCCGCGGTCTGGATCCCGACCACTGAGGTCGGCTGCAGGCGGGGGGCGTGGTCCCGATTTTGGAATATTTTTTTTTCCTATTAAATAAATACCAAAAAATATCCTACCCCTTAAGCAGCATTGGCCGCGGGGGGAGGTCGATGGTCCGCTCCGCGCCGGACTTGGGGGTGAAGTTTTGCTGCGGGCCGGCAGATGGAGGCGATCGAGGGCGGGGGGGCGGGCAGAGTGGCGCGCGTACCGAAATGTTCACAGCGCGCCAGAAAA